TGTGTGTGTGTGTGTGTGTGTGTGTGTGTGTGTGTGTGTGTGTGTGTGACAATTGTTGAAGTGGCTGTAATTTTCTTTTTTTCTCTTTTTGGTGCATTTGGTTTCGAATTTTTAAAATTGGAAAGAAGCAGACGTTCCGAACAGTTCCAGCGGTGAATCGGTGATAGTCCGCTTGATACCTCCCTCTGATCGGTAATAGCAGGGTCCTTGGCCAACACGGGTGTGAGTGTGAGTGTGAGTGTGAGTGTGTTGTGTGTGGTGTGTGGTGTGTGGGAGAGTGTTGGCCTTAGACACTGCTGTTATTCGGTTGGGGGTGGGGGACGATGAAAAGGGAGGCGCAGCTACTGGCAAAATGCTCGGTCTTTGCGTTAGCCGGACTCCCACCGGCGGCCCCAACCCGGGGGGGAGGGGGGAGCAACATGCATCCCCTCTGATGGGTGGAGGGAGACAACAAAGCTATGTTTGTAGGGGTCCCCTGTCTAAGGCTTAGTAGTAGTGGTAGGTAGGTACTGAAGGTGATTTGAAAGAATTTGAAAGATGATGAAACATTTGAGAGAAGAATATAGCGTAGTTAAAATAAAAAAAAATAAAAAAATAAATAAAAAAGTTATGGAGGTACGCAACTTCTCAGCTCTTTTTTTTTCTTTTTTTTCTTTTTTTTTGACGGAGCTTCGCAACTTTCAGGGTGGGAGGTCTGTGAGGTAGAGTACTGATGGAAAAAAATAAAGAAAGAAAGAAAGAAAGCGTTTGGTGTATTCAGCAGCCCAAAAATGGATTGGATTAAAAAAATGGATTGGATAATAATGAAGAAAATCAATGAAGGATCGAATAGCGAATAAGGGGAAGGAGAAGGAGGGAGGAGGGGGGGGGGCGTCTATAACCAAAAAAAAACAAAAAACTTTGGGGAAAAAAAAAGAAGAAAACGGATCAAATAATTTTGTCGTTTTGCAGATGGAGTGCGCTACGATCCATGTGCCCATGAACAGTGGATGTGAAAAGGTGCCTCTCTTTTTTTACCAATTTAATTGAACAATTTGAATTTATGTCCTTTTTTTTTTTTTTTTTTTTTTTATGTCCTTTTTTTCCCCCTTGCAAAAGACCTT